GAGGACAGAATCCCCAAAAGTGCATATGTAATATTTGGATACTGTAAAAGAATAGTTTTAAGGAGGTGGGGTATAGAATTGGGATGGTCCAGTCATCTTCTGCAAAGATGAATTGTAGAAGGCTAATTGTTTAATAATATCCAAAATTTATAGATGTTTTAGAGCCAGAAGTCATATTATTTATCCGTAACAGAATCTTCCTGTGGAAACATGCACGAGACTCAGTTGTGAGAAGCTAAGTATGAGAGGAGAAATAGAGGAGATTTCCTAGAACTTAAAGTGCTTAGGTACCTAAAAAAGCTATGTGTTTCATCTCATGTTACAGATAAAAGAATTTCTGGGCTCATGAATGGAAACTTTGCATATAACATATTAAGTGAAAATTGTTGGCACAATGGAATTTCATACTTATATTCAAATTTATATTTGATTTTTAGAAAAATAATAATATTCTAGTAGGAAAATTTTATATTCTAAACTTCTAGACTTCTTTGTTTAAATATAAATACAAATTAATATTCTTTGTTTGCCACATGTGAACTGTCATGACTATATTAAATGCTGTTGAAGATAACATGTTTTGCTTTGTTTATAAAATGCTGATTGCTTGAAATAATGATGTATTTTGGCTCATTGAGTGTTTGTTACCTAATTTTATTATGAGATCAAATCTAATGTATTGCTGGCTTTAGAATCCAGAAGCATTTATTGAACATCTTCCTTGCTTTGCAATATATTAAAACCTGAAAGAAGGTAAAGGGAATAGAATGGGGAGGAGAAAGCAGAGCGGGACCAAGAGAGTTTCACGCAGCTTAACGAAGTGTGCAGCCTCATGGAAAGAAGACTAGACAGAGGAAATCCCAAACCATGTAGTCAAATGTTTTTTGTTTCTCAACTAAGGAAACATGCCCACTGAGGTTAAATGGCATGACCACAATTTTCCAGGCTATATGTAGTTATAGAAGGCAACGGGATATGAGATTTGAGAGTGGAACTGAAGAATGGGTTGTTGTGAGATACGTTGATATTCACCTGATATTGCCATGTGTCAGGCTTTATGCTATGCTCTTCCCACATACTACCTCTTTCACATTATCACAACAACCTTGTATGTGAACTATTACTAACCAGTGTCCAAGGAAGTGAAGTAGCTTCCTTCCACAAGGACTCATGAGCATTATATTCCAGATTCACACCCACATCTTATGACCATAAATATGGCTGACAAAAAACATTGATTTGGTGAGTTAAGGCATTTCAAGTGTTGAGGTTGTTTGAAATACCAGGACTGATATGTTGAAGGAAAAGAAGGTGAGACACCTTGCTTAGCAAGAATAGAGCTTCTATGCTAAGAAGTGGTGAGATCTTTGGAGGCAATTGTATCTATAAAAAGTTAGAAATGTCAGTTTACACACAAAATCCAGGATTGATTTGGTTTTATACAATAAGGCAGAATATTGCAATGTTAAAGCAGAAAGGAAAGGAGGAAGTGTGGGAAAGAGGGAATTAATAGTATCTGAAATAAAACTTAGCCCAGTTGGTGAAAAATATTGTGTGTATTTTTATGAATGAATGTCATATATATTAAGATTCAAAACAGCCAGGGAAACAAAAGGATGCAGAACATTATAACAGTAATTACCTCTATGTGGTTAGATTACAGGTAAAATTTTTCTTCCTCATTCATTTCTTTTTTATCAAATTTTCAACAGTTTTCATCAAGTTTTCTGCATTGATTTTATAATTTAAAAAATACAATTTCTATAAAAAGAAATACATATATGGAAGCTAGATTATTTGCTGAATTGAAAAAATTGCCTAATTTGAAATTAACAGATATGAATTTGAGATAAAAATTAGTACAGTTTGTACTGAGAGTATGAATAGTTCATTATTTTATCAATGCATTATTTTCAATTTTATTTTTTCTTCATTAGGATTAAAAACTTAAGTTAATATTCTATTTATTTTTTTTAACTTCTCTCAATAAATGTGTAGTTTTAAATTTCAGCTTGTACATAAGAAGACTTACAGATACGAATTTTTTAATTGTACTGTGGGCTTTGGCTTGTAAAGTTGACAGATATTAACTAACTGATTCTGTTAATAGAAGTTAAAAAGAATATCCATTTCTGTCCTTTTCATATTTGGAATGTGTTCCTGGGAAGATACAGAATCTCAGTAATTGAGGTTGGCCTATACAATTTCAAGCTCAACCTTAGAGTTACGATGAGTACATAGTAAGTTCTTTTGACTGCATTTGGATCAGCTACTGGGTTTTTTAATTTCATAGAGTGTTATTACCTGTGGTCTTAGTTCTTGACCTCCTTTAAGGTTTTGTTTCAATTTACCTTTTCTATGTTGATGCTGTTTACTAAGGTCTATTTTTCTGTGATGTTTTTAGAAAATGGCATTTATTTTGTGCTTTTTCTCCAAAAATGTCTTGGCAAATTGGTAGTTTATTTTCTTTTGAAATTATTCAAATTGTTACAAGCCAATCATATAATACTGAATTTCTTCTTCTTTAGCATTTCTAAAGCAAGTTTATTAATACCAGTATTTTAACTGCATAAATTAGGAAAACACAGAATATTAAGCCTCTTTACCCATTATTTTCAAATAGGATGCTTTGTGATTGAGTTTAGTTTTCAAAAACACAGTGTTTACTAATAATATTAATTAATTAATTAATATCACAGGTATATCCTCCTGTGATTAAAAAACTCACAGATTTATTTCCTCCATAAAATCCTCACTGAAGTCACATCATAGAATTGAGAATTGCACTTTTCTGTTAGGTTCTTCTGAATGTGCTGATGTCTCCACAATGTTCATTTGCCTGCTCTACTTTTAGAGATCTAATACAGAGGATAAAAAGATGACATGACTGATTTTCAATTTGTGATATCTCATACAGTGCCCTGGATCAAAACTATTGAGTGATTGTACATCTCTGATACTGTTTTGAAACATTTAGGCCATTAATTTTGCCTTCATCATTTCTTTGTAACATTACAATTGCTTATTTCTGAAGAAGTTGGTTTGGTTTTTTGTTTGTGACCAATCAAAGTTGAGCAAATTTACAGGATCTCTCCAAGATTGGAAAATGGAGAGCATTTATTTATAATGTGACCTTGAAGTCCCATACAAGTGATATAGTCATTATATTATTTCCTGATTTTTTTTTCACTTTAGAAATAAGATAATTTAGCATGACATTCATATTGCCAGACTATTTCCAATCATTGACATTCCCTGATGGAAATAATTTTTTGACCAAGCTTAAACTTGTTTCAACCACTTTAAGAATGTATAAGTCAATGCAATTTTTAACTAGCCAACTTCATCAACTGACATTTGTAACCACATATGCATCACTCACAAAACTTTCCTATAATAGTCTTTTCATGTTAAGAATACCTGCTCTCTCAAAGCTTCAAGAATTTCAGTCTGTATCAGTCTCTTCAAAGCCTTTGAACTGTAGGTCATCTGTGTCTCATATTAACTATATATATGTGCAATAGTTTTTGCTTATTCAGCTACCTTTCAATTTTGATAAGATGCTTATATATTCTTCTCTGAAAATTTCTTATGAATCTTCTCTACGAAGAATAGGTTTTCTCAAAACCCCTGTGATAACAAAGATGCATGATGAATGTCACATTGCTTAAAACTTTCAGCACATGGCCTTCACCCAACAAAAAAAATAAAAATGTGAAAAGTCAATCCTGGTTCAAAGCAGGCAGAAAAAAGGGAAGGGCAATGGATAAGTTTATTTTCTCTTCTTTGGATATTTGTAGAGAGGATGGAAAATCCAATATTTCTTTAAACAACATGTAGTAGCCTAGATATATTTTATCTCCCCTAAAAAGCTTTAAAAATAATATTTTTAATAGGAAAAAAGGAACTATATTATGTAAAATCTAAGAGAAGTGTTTAAATACAGATGGCCAGAATCTAACATAATCTTCCCTTACATTTGGATGGCACGGTATGTATTTCCCCAAATAAGAGATAATAGGAAAAAACAAAAATTAAAAAAAAACACATTATTAATGTTATTTCTAGTTATAATTGGGCAGTTTTGAAAGTGGAGAAAATCTACACTCTTTTTTTTAGCTGTTTCCACATAAGATAATGAATATACCTAGAAGCATCGCAAACCCATCCCTGCCAAATGTGATGTTTAACTTGTGAGTTTGTATGCTTTTCAGCATGAAAAGCATTCATTCAGTTTGTATGAATAAAGTTTAGCAACAGTGATCGATCTGAACCTTTCAGAGTATTGTATTGCCTTTGAAAATGAATAGTGTGGAGTACTTAACAGCACTGAAAATAATTTTACCTATTTAACAAAATGTTAAACTGCATAACTGGTGAACAATTTACAACTATGTGCTATTTGTTTTCTGTTGCTCTACTGTGGGTTGAGGCAGTATTTTTAATTAGCTTTAGTAAAATCTGACTTGGACAATAGAAATTGAGTAAGTCAGTTAGTATAATACAGGCAAAGTATTTTTATTTGTTAGGGCTTTTAATTGAAATATCAGAGATTTTGAAAACCTATAGGTGTAGTTTCCAATTCTCTTTTTCTAGGAGAATTACTTAATCTTCACCAAATTACTGTCCCTTTTGTAGCCATATTTAACACCTTCTGAGAATATTCTGCTCTCTATATTATAAATATGTTTGCTGATAAGTTATTTTGAATATGAGATTCAACAGTCGTATTTACCATCATCCCAGGTCCCCTGGCTATTTATATAGCCTCAAAAATAAACAAGAAAATAATGAATAAAAAAATTAATAAATGCATTAAATTTCCTAAGTGCTTAAGAAGTATATTATTTCTCAGCAATCTTTTGAATGTTATTCATAAAGATTCTTTTCAAATTTCATTTACTTTAATTCTGCATAGCATAATCACTAGAGGGTATGTTGTGTGTTTCTCTAAATTCTTCTCTTCTGTGTTTTTCTCCCCCTCCTCTCCCCCACCCCAGTTACTGGCTGACAAACAAAGTTCCCATCAAAAGACCCAGCACAGGTCTCCTCATGTATACACTTGCCACAAGATTCTGTGATGAAATTCACCTGTATGGATTCTGGCCATTCCCTAAGGATTTGAATGGAAAAGCTGTCAAATATCATTACTATGATGACTTAAAATATAGGTACTTTTCCAATGCAAGCCCTCACAGAATGCCATTAGAATTCAAAACATTAAATGTGCTACATAACAGAGGAGCTCTGAAATTGACAACAGGGAAGTGTGTAAAGCAATAAGCACATTTGGAAACATACAAACAATATGCACTTCTCTTCTGAAGATGCTTCCTAAGATTTGAAAATAGGATCCAAAACAAGATTGGGTTTCAACATCCGCCAATTATCTGAAAGGTGATAAAGGATATTCATGAGAAATCCACTACCAGCTGATGAAATACCTGCAAAGTGCTCTAAAAAAGAAATATTTTGACTTCAAGGGTCCTAGTAAGTGCCACTTCCACTAAGAACACAGTCTGAATGTATAATCTGTAGTGTTTACAAGATCCAACGACGCACTCGTCATTAGTTAGAGAAGCAAATCTGTTCGTCACTGTTCGGCTGTCACTGCAACGTCAAGCACATGAGAAGAGCAACCCAGGAACACAGCTCAGCCCTTGGGGAAATTAAACCATCCTTGTCAGCAGAAATCAAGATGGAAACAGTTTGAGCAGTGAAATCCACAAGGTTAAACAACTCAAGTAAATGCCTTCAGTCAGGACTCTTAATCTGATCATGAATTTCATGTTTCCGTATCTGCTTTTGTTTGTCTTCTGGGATATCTTTTTTGGTTTGGGTTTTGGGGTGCTTAGAAATTCTTTCTGAGATAAACACAAAAGAGATAAATAACTGTCAAGTAATCATTTTTAAAGTTCTTGTATTTTGTAAGAACAATCACACAATGACTTTGTAAAAAGATGTTATTTTGCACAGCTCTAAACCTTCAGATCTTTTTCTAGTTGTGTAGAAGGTACCAGCTAAATTGTACCACTCGGTAATCTTGAACCATTCTGAAGGAAAGATGTTTTATGTCATCTGACATGGTAACAGCAGAAAAAAAAAAGTACTTTTGTACCAAAGATTATACTGATGTTCTACACAGCAAATCATTCTCCTTTCATGAAAATAATGTATTAATACATTATTACCCTACTCATGTGAAAGGTATGTAGATATTTTCAATTCTCCCAACTCAAACTTTTCTTTATTTGAAGGAAGACTTCCACAGATTTTACATTTCATAATAATTTTGTGGAAGACTTTGCCCCAAATAAATGTTAGACTGACAGGGCTGAAATGTGATTTCCAATTTTTTTATTTTTCCCTTATTATTCAAATGGAGAGATGGGTATGCTCTTTTTAGCATTATTAAATTTTCTTAGTGCAAAAACAACAATAATGTTGTCTCCATAATAGATGATTAATTTAAGAGGTTAACAATGAAACTGTGTGTCAGTATTTTGTACTTTAAATGAATTCAGTTGACCAATTTTTTCTGTGGTTAAATTTATGCATGTTATCACATTAATGTGTTTTAAAAGAAGCACATGAGATTAGTAATAAAGTGATTTTAACATATAACAGAATTGAACAGGAGGCCAGTTTCTGGTAATTTATAGTACCAGGTGTAGTAGTAGTATAATTCTGGTAGATAATTCTGATGGTAAATTGTTTCTTTAGAAAGCAGAAGTGCTATATTCCCACTTCTACTCTTGGCCTGACACAGCTTAGATGACTTCTTGTTTCTTAGGGAAGCCGGTCTGGAAAGAAGAAATAGCACGGCAAATGCATGTGTTTTATTTCTTAGGGAATACAGGCTGAAAAGAGCATAAACAGCATGGAGAATATAAATATGTTATCATGGAGGATAGTCACAGTAGTACAATTCTCAATATATTAATAATATGTGCTATTATTTTAAAAAATATGGTAAAACCTTGGGATACAGAACACTATATTTTCTGAGAATTCATGTGTCTCTAAGAAAACAAAATTGAATGCATAAAGGAGATGCATAGCTGAAAATGGATAGGACATGATGCACTTTTATCATTAACCTCTTGTCTTTTGGAATTTTTGCAAGAATTAGGTACATTTTGAATACAAAGTTAAAAAGTCTGATTTATCTAACAGATCAAAAGTAGGTGATTTATAGAACCTTAATTTCAACTGTTTATGGATATGTTGTCTGAGTAGCCTTTTATTTGAATTCAATAGAAATTTTGAAGTCAAAAGTAAATTCTCACAAGTAAAATCCATCTCAGAATTAAAAGTATGTCTTAAAAAAGCATCCAGGTACCTTGCCATTTTTCTCCATTTTCAACAAATGTATTTAAATGATTCTGGGCCACAGCAAAGCATCCCAGCCATTCACTGTTCCGTACATTGGTGTTTATCTCATAGATGCATTGAGTGGTGCCTTTTTAACTTCACATTGCTTTGTTACCCTGTGCTTTGTGTTCTCTAAAATACGTTGCCCAATTCTGAAAATGCTCAGCATATAAAAAGGGCTTTAGTATCGACTGAGACTACTTTTGTTCATCTCAGGGAACTTTCAATACTCAAGAATGAATTCAATTAAAGGCATTTAGTGTTCAAGGAAGACACACTGTACATGACTATTTCATTCCCTATTGTATACCTTTCCATCTACCTTCCTGTTTCACAAGCTACTGTGGCCTTCTTACAGGGATAGGGCAAAGAGCTCAGAGAAGGCTAATAGCAAGAATACAAAAGAATCGAGATTTAATCAATAAGGAGCAAAAGGGATCATGATAAAATCACATTTTAAATACATACTTGAAATATCTGGGGTTTTTCCTTTTGAGACTATCATATGTTCACAGCTTTAATTTTTTATTTCTTTTTCATGAGTTAACCCTGTACCTGGCAGTGCTCAGGCAGTGATTGTGAAACATTCCTGTCCTTCAGAGAACATGGTTGTTACTGTGCTGTTGATGTGAATAGGCCATGGAAACATTTTCATCACTATGACCCAGCCTGTTCTATACTCAACATTAAGTTGCTGGAATAAGAAAAATGAATCAGTAACAGAGTTTCTGGGCAAATTTAGTGATTCAGCCCACAGGATTGACAAAATAACTGTGGAAGTTTTTCTATCTGAAAGAAGATGCTGGGCATTCAAATGTATTTATGTATTGTATATCATATGAAATGTATATCAATTGTTAATGGGAATTTCTATGCTTACAGAAGCAATTTATTTAAATAATGCTATGAGTAGTGTACATACCAACTAGTTATTAAGCTACTACACAGGAGAAGGGTGAACAAAGTAATTTATTTCTAATTGAACCAGTTAGTCATAATGCACACCATGTGGTATTTGGTTCATAAGAGTTGTTTTTATGTGGCTATTGTTGGAAATATCTATAATTGTGGAAAGGGTGTAGGAAGAGTAATGTATAGTTAGTTGTTACCTCTACAAGCTTGAAAGTTCCCCATGAGACATCATCAATATACCAATGTTTTAAAAAGTGAGTGAGAGATGGTTACTGTTTGTATTTGATAAGAGAAAATCCAAATAAAGCCCACCTAGAAATAGATATTTTATATGTGCTATAGATATATCTATATAGTACAAATAGACCTGTGTGATGCATATATACCATGTTATATATGTGTGTCTGTGTGTATACACACTGAGTCTGTAATATACACACGCTAGGTTTGTGTTATGCTGACATCTTCAGGGGCTGCACCATGAAGCACTCCGGAGATAAGTCCTCTTTAGAATAAAGAAGTTTTTTTGAGACTTCAGTTACTAACCTGCTTTAAGAGGGATCTACTTTATAACTGAATTCTAAGTTGTTCATACCTAGAGTTACAATAAGGGTCTTGTATGTCCAAATCTTAAGAAAAGAAAAATTTTAAAAATTAAAAATAAAAAAATATATATTTCAAGCTAACAATGTATTTGAATTGCAGTTTTCAGATTGTGGCTCCAGGCCCTGTGTCTCTTACTTAAGTAGCACCTTTTAATAAATACTGTTTCTTTGTGTAGGCAAAAGCACAAGTGTTTCAAATGTATATAGCAGGAAACAAATGAGTTTACAAAGATAGCATTGCTGCACAGGATAATTGCTACTGAATAGTTCTTATATCATTTGTGAATTTGAAAGACGCGGTTTATTCTGACAAATTTATTCTGTTCAACACTGTTTCCCTATTGTTTATGTATAGCAATTGGGTGTTATTGTTTTAGCCTTTGTAAGATTATAAAATAAATTAAATCCCTTTTTTTCCAATTTTTCTCTGCTCTCTTACATCCAAGCCCTTGTTAACACTCTGTATATCAATATAGGCTGATAGTTTTGAACAGATTTTAGCTAGTACCTTTTGTTTTCCTAAACCGGTTAGCCCCAGCCCATGGTAATTTGCCAAAGCAGTTATTTTAAAGTCTGTGCACAGGAATATGAACAATATCAAAAGCTTCATGAGCATCAGGAAATCCTTAACAATATTTGTGTGGTGAATTCTGTCTGTAGTTGAAGGAATGGAGTGCTACACAAGTTATAGTCATTTATATCCAATTTATATTCCCACTGACTGCTGTCAGCAAGTTACGGCTTCACGGCTGGAGACGCCAGTGGCCCCTTACACATTACACATTCTGACTTGTGAATTCAGCTGCTATTATATCTCCTTCCTACTGTTTGCAGTTCACCTTCTAGGAGATAATTCTGAAAAACTGCATATTTACATCTTCTTTCATGGTTTTCTATAGTCGGCATATCTATGTTTTCATACTCTGAATTAGTTTATCTAGAAACTATTAACTCTATTTTCATGAGGTCACTTATAATATTGCATAATTTTGAAACATTTACTGCAGACCAACAATGCACTATTAATAATGGTTAAAGAATATAGATCTTATTTTTATTTGCATAGTTACCTGTTACTTTCAAAGATTCGTATGTAATGGGGAATCCCTATTTATTTCTTGGATATATTCAAACCTCATCATGAGCCTTTGAGGTGGGTACTGAATTTCCCAGTTCAAAGATGAAATTAAGGAAGAGGTTATGTGACTTGTTGAAGGTCACACAGCTCAGAAGTAAAAGAACCAGGATTTGAGTCCAAGTGGTCTGATTTCAGGGTCCACCCTATTAACCATCACGTTTTAATACCAACCCTTTTTAACTGGAACAAATTCCCCTGGAAACAAAGTTCCCAAATAAATTATTACTCAATGAAAACAGATCAAAACTATAGGTAAATTTTGAAACTTTGGTAGAGTCTAATGAATGATCCCTGTCCCCAAACAAAACAATCTTTCATGACAAGATCTATGCCTTCCGGGTCAGGGACTGTCCTGGATGGTGCTACCTAAACACTGCCAATTCTTGCTCCAAGTTCCTCCTGTATTTTTTTCATACAAGCTGGAGTATTTTTATGTCATCATATGACTTTCTGTATCACAAAATTTGTTACATTAAAGCTATTTTAAAGTCTGATTATGAGATTCCTACACCAACAGTTTGAATTTGGGAGTTGCTTTCATCTCTATCAGTAACTATTTACAGAAATGCCTTAAGGTTGAACTTCTGCAAATGGCCAAGTTCATCCATTTTATATTGATTTTTTTTACTAGTCTCCTTTTACTGTGAGAGTAGCCTAATTTCCAAATTAAGGGGCCACTTTACTGATTTCCCTTATACACTAGTTTAATCGTACATAAACCCATGAAAGGAAAAAAACAAAACCTTGGCTACAAGAGCAAAATTATTATTTGGTGCATTTAAAAAAAATAAATTTCAGTCACTTAATTGCTCAATTTCTGGAATCTCAATAAACAAGTTATGTTAAAGAAATGAATGTGAATATAAATCTCTCTTTTTAAAAAGTGTTTGCTTCCAAATTGCTAATTTCTGACTCAAACATCAAAGTAGAATTTCTCAAGTATGCACAAGAGAATACCAGTCCAGGACATGCTCTGCAAAAATGTGCTCAGTTGTGAATGACAATTATTTATATCTCTCCCTTGGAAATTCAGGAAATACATTAACACAGAAAAAGATCTCAGTAATCTTGCAATAAATTAGGAAATTTCTATTTAAAAAGTTACAGATAATTTCGTATAAAACTTCTATTAAGTGTGAAGTTACATTGGACAGAGGACAGAATATACTCTGAATATAATAATACAAGAGAAGAGAGCAGGTAAGAATTCCAGTTAGAAAGGCTGATGCCCTCTTTATTCAGTGTCTTCCTTTCCCAGGGATCAAATTATTTTTGTTAATAATATTTTCAAATATGAAAGATATTTTAAACATATATTTATTTATTCTCTAAACTTTTATATTAATTTTTACTTTAACAATTACTCTTTTCAAAAATATTAATCAGTACACAGCTACAATCCTAAAAGCAGCTCTAAATCTAAACTTTATTGCTTATTCTCTGTGATGCACACAAATTAGTAGCTTTAAAGCATTAAAAGCACAGGAAAAAAAAAAAATGTTATGAGGTGTCCCTTTGCATTTTCCGGAACAGCTCAGTATATTATAGTAAGCTCTCCCTCTGCTGTCTGTCCAGCCCAGATTCCTGAGCTCCAGCCTCCCTACACCACACAGATGGGCTGTCTATGTGCACATCTGCGAGTGCTGCCAAAATGTAAACGCACTCAGCTGGTAGCAGATGTTTTGCAGGAAAGATCGCTAACACCGGAGTTGTTCTGCTTTGGATTCTATGTTAGTTGATCTCCTTGACTGGGCATAAGGTCATTGTTTTCAAACAGATCATTTGTCTCCCAGGTATAGAACAGTAACAGGGCAGAACAATAACAGGGTAGGAGCTCAACTGTTTGACATTTATCATGTGCATCTATGTAGAAATGTTTCTGAAGGTTCTCCTAATGAATCAAGATTTTCTTTTTAAAAATATGGTCCTTTATTTCACTTTAAGAGCTTATTTGTCGAATCATGAAAGGTAAAAATAGGTTTAGTACAAGAAAAATAAGTATACTGTCTGCTTTTCTATGGTTATTGTTGTAATTGTTAGTGTTCTTGTAAGTTGTTATAATAATTGTCTGCATTTAAAATTCTCAGTCTGACTTTTTATCAATATATGAGGCATTCATTTATTTTATGAGTAATTTTATTTAATTCTATAGACACTCAGCATCTTTTTATGTGAGTTTCTAAACTCATTTAATACACATGTGTCTGTAAATATTGATGGTATGCAAAATCTAAAAATACTGCATCTTATTAAATGGTTATATTTATTCAACATTTATAAAGTAATAATACTGCCTGCTAGGTACTCTACCAAACATGAGGAATGCCTTTCCTGATGGTTATCAAATTTTTGAGGGAAGAGACATGCAAATAAATAGTCATATCTTTGGTGACGAGTATTTTATTCTTCAAGTGCCCAGAGAGTTAGGGGAGCACAGAGGAGGCCAGCAGAGGACAGAGGATATGCTGAGCATGATTAATGGTGGGCAGCTCTGAAATTAAACAAGCAATACTCCATTAACACAGAAGACCCAAAGAACAGAAACTAACTGATTTTTATTATTTGTTTACTAATGCAAACAGTAGGGTTTGAGAAACTATTCTAAAACACTGAAATACTCAAAAATCCTTGCTTATGGAAATTACATAATTGCCCCCCAACTCCTTACCATGCTTCCCTAGAATCATTGTTGAAATACAAGTGTAAAAGTGAATTCCACCCTAAACCAAACGTTTACCATGACCAAGTAACCATAGACCTATTGACTCTCCATTTTCAAAATCTCTCCATTACTTTGTACAAGACTTTCCACTTTCAAAATCTCTGCATTAATATTTACTTTGTGTTCCTACCTTGATGGAATACACCATTCAAAATAATGTCTTATACTTGCTTCCATATTATAACTTTTGAAAATCATTTATTTCTATCACTTCAATACATGTTTCCAAATTATCATAACTTTTAAGTTTGATTTCGGATGATTCCCCAAATTTAAAATTCTATCTGTCTAAACTTCCCAAGATACAGAATATGAGCTTTCTGGTACTATTTCTCATTCAATAACCACACCCTCTCTCTCCTCCATGGGCCCCTCCTTTTATGCCTATATCAGAAGTGTGTTTCTGTAGGATTTTTCTTCAGTCTTCTTTTATCTCCACACATCTTGAGATCTTACCTATTCTGATGCTTTGTAAACTGACAGCTGTATGCACATGTGGAAATAGCAATAAAATTAAGGAATCTATTCATAGAAAAATGTACATATTCATGTCTTATTCAGAGAGTAGGTTCCTTTTAAAATGTAGTTCAAAGTAGTTTTAATGCAAATAGTCTGTTGGGAAAATGCTCCCAGAAGCAGAAGTGAGGAACCAGGGTGTCATAGATTGAATGATTGTGTTTCCCCAAAATTCAAATGTTGAAACCTAATCCCCAGTGTGGTGTAATAGTATTTGGAGGTGGTGCCATTGGTTTGAGCCCTCATAAATGGGATTGTGCTCTATAGAAGAGAACCCAGACAGCTCCCTCACCTCCAACACCATGTGAAGACACAGCAAGAAAATAGCTGTCTTTAGACCAGGAAGCAGGGCCTCAGCAGATACCAAATCTGCTGGTGCTTTGTTCTTGGAGTTCTCACCTCCAGAACTATGAGAAATGAATGTTGTTTATAAGTCACCTAGTCTATTATATCTTGTTATAGAAGACTGAATAGACTAAGACATAAAGTGTAACAGGAAAGGAGAGAAATCCTATGTAAAGACATTTTCAAATTGACTGCTCCTGTGGACACATTTTCAAATTGACTGATTATGTGGACACATAAATATCCTCAGATGGTCTAAGTAGAGTGTTCAATCCCACTTGGACCATCTGAGGATATTTATTATAAGGATCTCATGATTCAAGGACCCATCAGTCCCTATTCCCCACTGAGAGTTTCCTTATAAGTCATAAACTCCCTGAACTTGAAGGATGCTAATGTGAATTCTAAGCTAGTTCCTATGAATGTCCCAAAGCATATGCCGAGAAACACCCAAGCAGTATACAAGACAGACAAAGCATGCATGACATGACGCACTATCTGTACAATATTGTTTGCTGAATCAGTGACTGGAATGAGAGGTGAGGCAGAGAAGAAATGAGGTAGTGCACAAAGTATTTAATATAGTACCTCCAGTGCACCACTTGCAAAGGCATGTGCCTTCCATGAATTCCAATGCATACACTAACTTTTCAAGTTTGCAGATGGCTGGAAACTTTACAGAAGAGTTATGTAAGAGACTTAG